CTTTGATTGGTCAGAAATGACGGGGGCCAGAATGAAGCCACGGGACGAATCACAAGTAGCATTGCAGCACAATTATTGGTGAGTGTCAAAGAATGGAGCCAACTAGGAGCAACAGGCTCATTTCCGAGCTTAAGAATCAGGATTCCTGGAGCGCAAATCTGGCTTGTGATGCAGATTGTGGTACCGTATTCTCCAGTGTATTAGTCTCGGTTTCATTACAGAGCAGATACACTTGAAAAATAGTAACTTGTCTTACAAGGAGATGGACTAATCGAAGCAGGTCCACCAACTTCAAGTTTACCGGTGCTGGGGCCACGCCTCCTTTCTTGTCTTGTCCTCCCTGACGGCACTTTCCCTTCCCACTTCCTTGTCCTTTTGAAGGTTTCTTTCCAATCCATCCCATCCCATCCAGTCTCTCGCTTTCTTTTCTTTTCTTCTCCTTCCTTCTTTCCCTTCATTCTTCCTGTTCGTCCAACGTGCTTGCCAAATTAGTCCACTTTCGTTGAAGGATTCGCCGCTTACAGCTTCTCCTTCGTTTCCAACTCCTCCCCTTCTTTCACTCGTTCATCTATTTTTGTCTGCCAAACTCTTCCAGCTACTGCCATCCGCCCATATTGACCTCTTAAGGGCCGAGCATCGCCCGTTCTGCATCTCTAATCCATTGATCATTGGTAAGTCTCATCACGTCCATCTCTCTCTCACTCATCTTCTCTTCCGTTATATTCTCAGTGTGCTCTTTTTCTACTCGGGAATATGGATTGTCCTGGGTCGTTGCTTGACGCCAGCCTTCGATACCTGCTAATGACATTGCTGACCTTGTTTTGAGGATTTAGTGAAAAAAACATTTAGCAATGGCTTTCCTCAAGTACGCTCTTCCTGCCCTGGCTGCAGCCCAGGCCGTCCTTGCTGCCGGTGAGTGAACCATCATCCCCCGAATCCAGCGAATTAAATGACAAAAATGCGGGAGTCGGAGCTGATTGTTCGCACAGACTGTGGTAAGACCGATGAGACCATCACGATTTCCAGCCAGAGCGATGCCGACGGCTACTCCTCCTGCTCGACCATCAAGGGTACCATCGAGATCGACGAGCACATCTCGGGCTCTATTACCTTCAACAGCGTGAAGCAGATTGACGGTACCCTCAGCTGCACCGGTGGCGCCAACATCTCTACCATCTCTGCGCCTATGCTGAACTCCATCTCCGACACTTTCAAGCTGAATGGCCTCACCACTCTGACCACTCTCAGCTTCCCCTCTCTTACCAGTGTCGGATCGATCCAGTGGACTGCTCTGCCTCAGCTTCAGAGTCTTGAATTCACCAAGGGTGTCAATGAAGCCGGTGATGTCTCGATCACCAACACCGGTCTGGCAAACCTGAACGGTATCTCGCTGAACACCGTTGGTCAGTTCGACATCACCGAGAACACTCAGCTCAAGTCCATCAACATCAACAACCTGAAGAACGCAACTGGCCTGATCAACTTTGCTGGTAACTTGAACAGCCTTGAGGTGGAGCTGCCCAACCTCTCCAGTGGTACCAACATGACCTTTCGCAACGTCAGCGCTGTCTCCATCCCCTCTCTTCACAACCTGACCGGTCAGCTTGGCTTCTGGGGCGACTCCTTCTCGTCTTTCAGCGCTCCCAACCTGACCGAGACTGGCGACCTGGTTTTCAACTCCAACACCAAGCTCAGTAACATCAGCATGCCATCTCTCGAGACTGTCAACGGTGGTTTCCTGATTACCCGCAACGACGAGCTCGCTACCATCGATCTGCCCTCCCTGCAGGTTGTTACTGGTGCCATTGACTTCAGCGGCAAGTTCGACGAGTAAGTGACCTTTTTCTGCCAGCCGAAATATGGCGCAACATGCTAATCAAGTCGCAGAGTGAGCATGCCCAAGCTCGAGAACGTCAAGGGCCAATTCAACTTGCAGAGCACCGGCAACTTCAGCTGCACCAGCTTTGACAAGGCCCACTCCGACGGTGTCATTCGTGGTACCTACAAGTGCAAGGCTGCGGAGGCCAACCCTACTACCAAGGACGGATCTTCTGGCACCACCACTAGCACCAGCAGCTCGTCTTCCGCTTCCAAGTCTAGCGCTGCTGATCTGAACGCTGCCAACCTCCCCGCTCTCGGATTCGCCGCCGTCTTCGGAGCTCTGGTGCAGTACGTTTTGTAAAGGATGGCCGATACCAAGAATTTGCGTGTGCTTTTGTTTGTTTTCCAAAACTCCTTCCGGGGGTGTGTAGAGCTGTCTAATAAGCCATGGTCTTTTTGATTGCAGTGCTTTGACCGTTTTTATGATAATAATTGAATCTCAATTGAGCAAGCTTACAAATCTTTCAAGATATGCGATACACGGGTCTAGTGGCGGGACGGTGTGGGAGGTGCCTCTTGAGCAATCAACACTGATTAGATCACGGCTATGTACCTTGGACACCGTCCGGGCTTTGTAAGATCTGCGTAAGATTGTCTGCAGTAGGTACAAACTAGTCGTGGGCATAGCGCGGTATGTGCATCGGATACGTGCATGCATATATCCGACAACTGCGCCAGAACACGAGCATGTGCGGGGGGTGGATTTTCCTGAAAAATTCCTCGTGGCATCTTGGGAGACGACCGATTGAGCATTCAGAAACTTCTATGTGCGTTACACATCAGATGAAATCGCGACTAGTGAAGAAAGCGGACAGAAGAAGAGAGCAACATCCATTTGGAGCCGTTCGCTTTTATCAATTGAGAACGCCACGCTAAGAGAAGACCGAGACACTGGAAGACAGAAAGGGGATATGAACCAAGCAGATGCGACTAGATCATATGAGAACGAGCGTCAAAAGCCCTAGTTCTAAAAAGTGGCCGCGACGTGACGGGACACCGTAAATTAAGAGCATTGATTAGACCGAAGGAGAATACGAGATTTGGAAAATCATCATCATTCGCGTACCAAATCTCCGTCTCTAGAGAGCAGGATTCTCCTTGACGACCTGACGCACGCGCCGCTCGTACGCCGGCCGGTCCTTCTTGAATAAGTTGTATGCTTCAGCTTGCGCGGGGGACTCTGGGTTCGGGTCGTCGAGCAGGTCCTGGATTCCCAGAAGGATCTGCTTGATTGTGATGGCGGGCTTCCAGGCTTCTTCTTCGTTGAGGATTGAGAGGCAGACGGTGCCGGAGGGGTAGACGTTGGGGTGGAAGAGTGGGGGGACGAATTTGCCTGTGTCGTGTGCGACGTCAGTTTTAACAACCTCGGATGATGGATGGGATCGGAGGTGGCAATGTAAATGGATGGATCATGCCCTCTTGACTTTGCGCAAGAAGACAGAAGGGAATACGTACACTTTGGCGGCTTGGTCGGATATTCTATTCCGGAAAAAGAGGCACGGTCAGCTATTCCGCGCACATTTGCTTGCTATACAGGGAGCGAGCACGAGCACAGGCAAGCTTACCATCTGGAAAGACAACGTCCAGCTTGAAGAGTCCGCCTTCCCACAGCGTATTCGCCTTTCCCGGGATACCGCATTCCCAGCGCTTCAGGTCCAGTACGCCCTGGGGTGTCCGGTGAGGCTTTGCGTAGAAGCCGAACGGGTGGTCTCGCCGCCATTGCTTCCTGCGCGTGAGGGTGTTAGTTTCTGGGTTGCTGTCGGATGCGGAGTCGTGGATGTGTTTGCGCGGCGCGATGGTGACCTGGGCTGGTGGACATACCGTTCTTCTGTGAGGCGGTTTAAGCACAGGGACATGGTGAGTGGGCGATGTGAACTGGTTGCGGGATGAGGTTTGCTTTGGGTTGAAGAGGCGCTTACGGCGAGTTGCTGGAGGAAATGTCCGAGGAGGTTTCGTCGCAGAGGATATATAGGGGGGGAGAATGGAGACAGATAAGAAAGGAGGAGGTGAGAGGAAAGAGATAGAGTCACCGACTGAGAGGCTCAAAGTGAATGGCCACCAGATGAGGCTTTCCAGTGTTGCTTAATGGATTTGATACCCCACAGCCAATCAGTTCTCCACTGATAAATCTCACACTAATGATCATGTGATCTCTATGGTTTGTATGGCGGATGTGCGGAAGGAGATGGAAGCATGAAGGTACCTATGTTTGTCCTCCAGGGTTATGTTAATAGAATAAGATAATTCAGGATATGTCTTCTCTAGTCGTCAGTATGAACAATCAAGCTGTTCTGACCCTATACACTGAGAATAGTCAGCACAAAGAACAGCAAGGTGGATCTATATTCTCAGCCCTGTCCAAGGCTCAAGCATTGCCTCAGGTACCTTTCATTTGCGCGACACTAGCATTCGGTGTTTAATATGTCCCTTTGTTGGAATTTCGAAATTGTCACTCTCCAGTAAAGGAACCTGTAAATCGACTCCTCTTTCATGCCATTCATATAAAGTCGAGGTCTTGGATATATGTTCTCTACACATCTCACTTTCTGACACAAAATATCCATCCATGACCACTGTCCCCAATTGGTGACCGCCAAGAAAAGCAGAGAAGACAGAAATATCTTGTCCAATGTGCCATCAAGTCATCTGGTACCATGCCCTTTGTCTCCATACCAATCCCATCTACTGCTTTCACATCTCCTGCATACATGCAGTCAGATCTGGCTATGACTGCTGCACGAACGAGACCCTGGATCTCCCACTGATAGGAGCCAGCCACTGGTGCAACATCAACAAACTCTCCAAGCGAAGCCGCGCAGCATCAGAGTCTAGATCGCACGATATCCCAAGCACGGAGCTGGCAGACAACGAAGCCTGGCAGGAAATCGATGAAGCGCAAGGCGGCTATCTCAAAGACTCGCACGTCCGCAACAACATGGATGAAGTCGAAACATTTGAGCTGGTAACCTTCTGATCCGCATAGCTCCATTACTGTGCATCTATCCAGACACTATCACGGCAGACATCATGATCTCAGAAGGCAGGCCAGAGTTATAGCATCATCTGACGAGCAATGAAACCCGCGGATGTGCTGGACATGTTTCTTGCTCCTATGCTTGCTACCGATCGTCATATATCCCTTCTTCGAATTTCTGAGTGTCATAGAAACGGGCTGTTATCGTGTTGCCATTGAATACACGACCTTCCAGAGCATTCACCGCCTGATAGATTTTGTTAGTACCAGGACTTGATGGCCTGCGAATTCTGGAATACTCACTCGTAAAGCCGATAACTGATTAGTAAACTTGACAAAGACCGGCACTGGGGGACCAGATTCACGGGAAATAAAAACACGCTCCACACGGCCGTACTATTTTCGTGTTAGATGGTAGCAACCCAGTCATCAACAGAGAAGCGTACCTTTTCTGAGCATTCCTCGCCAATCTCTTGCATCAACCCTCCGTCTTGATCACCCTCGAGCTCAGCATCCACATCCATCCCATCAAGCATACCCTTGAGGATGATGACTTCGCTCATACGGCCGAATTTGCCCTCCTCTTCCTCCGCCTTCCTCGTACCACCAATGATTTTGCCCCTGCCAGCAGGAGTAACAAAACCACCGCCTTCCGAGTCTGGCCGCTTCTTTTGCTTTTCAACTTTGACCTGCAACGGTTTGACGATACCCGACCCCGTGGCACCCAAGCCAGATCCCTTGGTCCACCCATACTTCGCCAGCAATCTTTCAGCAAATCCCTTTTGTCCCGGCCGGAGCGAGCGCTGGCCACCTTCTTCGTCGGGTACATCTTCCGCAGGCTCTTCCCTCGCAAAGACTTCTTCAAGCTCCGCTTCTGAGGCAGGAATATCTTCTGGAGGTGGAGGCAGGGTATAACGGACCGGCGCACGAGAGATAGTGGCAGAGGATGGCTGCAGCGCATCCAAAGGCCGAGGCGGAGGCGGAGGGGGCGGTTGCGGTGCAGGCTGAGCTCCGGTCGACATTTGCAGCCGTCTCAGGTAGGCATCTTCACCGGTGGGGTCATCCAGAATGGGAGCAGATTGCTCTTCGGGAGGAGGCGGAGGCGGCGTCTGACCAGGCATTAATGTATCTGACTGACCTGCCGTCATGCGCGCGCGTCGAGCAAATGCGTCGTCTCCCGTGGGTTCATCAAGCGGTGCAGGAGGGATATCGTTGAGATTAGGCGGAGGCGCAAATTGTCCTGCGAAAGTTCGTGAGCTTTTCAACCGTTCGCAGTCGCGTGCAAAGGGAAGCATACTCTTCATTGGTCTTGATTCATCATCGCTATACGAGTCCCTGCTCGGCGAACGTGCCATCCGGTGTGCGTAGAGGCGATCTTTCCACTCGCGCACCTCGGCAATCTGCTCATCACTATGCTTATACTCTTCGTAGATGTTCGGTCTTGAAGGGTCGTAGATGTCGTCCCAATTCTGGATTACCGCCTGCGCTTCCCGGTTCTTCTTGCGCTTTTTGCGCCCGCCACGCTGTCTCTTCTCGCCAACGTAGAAGCCATTGACATCGTCTTCCTCCGTTGCTGCCCAGTCCGCAAGAGTGGTCTTCACGGGAGCAGCCGCCGGAGCAGCCGCAGCGGCAGGAGTCGTCTTGGGCAGCGCTGGTTTCGGCTTAGGCTTCTGGGCCGCTAGCTGTGGTCTTTTCGTAGGCTGAAATCGAAGAGAAGCTGAAAACCCGAGAAGCAAGGAAGAAAGCCAAGTGAGCAATCAGATCGTCAAAATGGGACACATGAAGAGAACTTCTCGATCACAAAAGAAGGGTATGAGTTCTACCAGCACTTAATTGCTGCTTTTTGGCAGCTGAATCATCTATCTGTGAGTCGCCTTCCGAAGCCTGCTTGAAGACGACTGGGGCGCGAGAAATTGTTCCGGGAGAGGAGGTGTTGGCGGATGGGTCGAGGAGATTGGCATAGAGAGACAGGGCTCCGCCTTTGGACGGGGTCGAATCCGAAGTCATGGATAAATATGCAGAGAACAGTAATAGTTCAATACACAAGATGGAGAACAAGATCGATAATCCAGCGAGGAGGATCGTTGGAAGAGTTGGAGATGCGGAGTAATTCCATGCATCAGCATCGAGTTCACCTTTGATGTTTGCTCGGCTTGCACTGTTTGCCTTGTTTGGCTGTCCTTACATAATCCACCCGGAACCGACCGCTCCAAGGGAGGAGACAGGGAGGAGAGCGAGAAAACAGGGCGAATAAAAGGCGCTGCCAGTCCGAGGGCCGATGGGTTTGATCATTATGATTATGTTGGCACGCCTGTATCGATTTCGTAGGACACTTGAATCCTATCCGCAGAATTCCCATATTCAACCTGTATCACCTACTATCTAGATATCTATCTTATCCATCACTGTAAATAATCCCTGACGGCCAAGACACACCACAAGAACGATGGCCACTCTAGCTCGGTCCTTCTCGTCCGACAGCCCGAGTGTTGCAGTGATAGTCCCTCATAAGCCGTCGGCCTTGTCGGTCTCCTACAAGCAGCTGCATGCCCATGTCGCTGACTTTCAAGCCAAGCTTGCTAGACTGGGGGTTGGCCATGGAGCTGCAGTGTCACTGGCTCTCGTCAATTCCTTTGAATTCATCGTCTCATTCTTGGCTGCATCATGGCAGCGAGCCATCGCAGCTCCCCTCAACCCGGCGTACAAGCAGGAGGAATTTGAGTTTTACATCGACGATCTCAGCTCTTCCCTGGTGTTGATTCCGCGGGGCTCTTTTGCGCAGAACGGTCCTGCTGTGCAGGCCGGTAGGAAATACAACGCTGCCATCGCGGAGTGTTACTGGGATGGGAAGGAGGTTGTACTGGACGTCAAGGAACTGGGCAAACTTGCTGGAAAGGGCAACATTGGTGTCCTCGAGGCACAGCCTGATGATGTTGCCCTTGTTTTGCACACAAGTGGGACAACTGGTAGACCCAAAGCCGTATGGTCCATCAACGCACTGAACGAGACAATCATACTGATCATAATGTGGGAGCAGGTCCCGTTAACACACAAGAACCTTGTCACAACCATGAGTAAGTGAACAACACAGTGTGACTTGGTCGAAATTTCTCTAAACGCGCACAGAGAACATCCGGGATACATATCAGTTAACTCCCGAGGACCGTACGTACTTGGTGATGCCTCTATTTCACGTTCATGGGCTGCTGGCCGGCTTCCTCGCCCCTCTCTTTTCTGGAGGCTCTGTGATAGTACCTCTCAAGTTCTCTGCCTCGGAGTTCTGGCAAGATTTCGTCACTCACCAGGCGAACTGGTACACCGCTGTGCCTACGATCCACCAGATCCTCCTAAAGACCCCTCTGCCGAATCCCATTCCCAAGATCCGCTTTATCCGCTCGTGTTCGTCACCTCTTTCTCCCAAGACTTTTGAGGATCTGGAGAAAACATTCAAGGCCCCCGTGCTGGAAGCGTACGCGATGACAGAGGCGGCCCACCAGATGACGAGTAGCCCTCTCCCACCGGGAAAACGCCAACCCGGCAGTGTCGGAATCGGACAAGGCGTAGAGGTCAAGATCCTCGATCAAGCTGGCGACGAAGTGCCTCAGGGCACGGAGGCGGAGATTTGCGTCCGTGGTGAAAACGTGACCAAGGGGTACCTGAACAACCCGGCCGCCAACAAGTCGTCCTTCACCAAGGACGGTTTCTTCCGCACGGGCGACCAGGGTAAGAAGGACCGCGACGGCTACGTTATCATCACCGGTCGTATCAAGGAGCTCATCAACAAGGGCGGAGAGAAGATCAGCCCTATCGAACTTGACAACACGCTGTTGTCTCATCCCAAGGTTGCGGAAGCGGTCTGTTTCGCCATTCCAGACGAGGGCCACTATGGGGAGGATATTGGAGCCGCGGTCGTGTTGAAGAGTGCCGGCTCTGCAACCGAGGCGGATCTCAAGGCATGGGTGGCCGGGAAGCTGGCCAAATTCAAGACCCCGAAGCAGGTATGTATGCCAATGTCCTTGTGCCCAACGTGTCTTCCTGGGCAAGGAACTAACGCCATACAACAGGTCTGGATAGTCGCACAGATTCCAAAGACGGCAACGGGAAAAATCCAGCGTCGCAAGGTGGCAGAGGCGATGCTCCAGCCTAAGGCGAAGCTGTAGTCACATGAATGCTTGTATATGCGAACAGAACTTCTTAACATAGGTGGCAGCACCATCACTTGTGTAGATTATCAGAGACGTATCAATGCATTATTTCACACAAATACATCACTCGTTCCCAGTGTCCCTTCCCACTTTAGTACTCACATTCCCGTCCGAACAGCAGTTTTGAACTGAACCACCATTAGCCCCAACAAGCATGGAAGCAAGCCACAAGAAACCTAATCACGTACCGGAATAATCTGCGCCTTCTCCAAATCCCACACTCCACTCCTAACATAGATATCCTTGCTCAGCAGCTCCCGCGCCTGTTCCTCGCTCTCGGCCATCAGCAACATCGCACTCCCCTTGAACGAGGGCGTGCCCTCGGTAGAATGAGACTCCAGCATAGCCCCTGCTCAATCACTCAGCCATCTCCTCTGCAAGTAACCATCGAGGCCAAAGGGCCGCAAAAACGCTTGCAGGATACTCACCACCCATCGTGATCACCCCATCCGCAACCAGGGGCTTGACGCCCTCAAGGTGGGAGCTGTACAATCTCGTCAACTCACGCAGGAAAAGAGTCTAGGGTGCCCAGGAGGGAGAAAGAGTGACTTACGCGCGCACTTCCAGCCTCTTAGCCAGAGCATCCGGCTTATCGGGCAGGATGCAGAGGAACTCATACTTGGTGGAAGCCATGATTGTGGTCGAGAATGCTCGGGTGAATGATCGGTTGAGAAAAGCGGGGGAGGTGAGTCTGGTTAGATGGAACATGAATGTTGGTGAGAAAGTCGAGTGCTTGGGGTGGAGGCTTCAATATCTACTGTTTTTGTTGAAGCACAGGTAGGTTCAGCGTGGGGCAGACAGCGGGACCGTGTCACAATGTGGGGAATGGTCTACTCCTACGGTGATTCAGGTTGCACCGGATAATGAACATGATGCGAGAAGACAAATATGTTAGCAATGCATGCTTCTTATCGATGTGACTACTTCCAATCGGTATGCAATTACATAGTCAATGCCATAATCTTCATTGGTTGCATGACTCTGGTATTGTTGCGAGGCAGGAGAAGCTCTTGTGGCTCAAGCAGATGTGCTTGAAAGATGTCGAACACTTGGCATGCTTGTCAGAAATTCACTTTGTATAGGTACATATATATCTATGTACATGAATGGCTGCCACGTCGATACCTGGTCCGTCTCCTTCCTGCCCACCTCCATTTGACATCAACACCCTTGGACGCGCCCTGACCCGGTAATCCCGTCTCTCTGCCAAGACCTCTGCATAGGCCACGGACACAGGTCTGAGAACGATGTCATTGACTGATCCCGACTCAGAAGACAACTGGGAACGAGTCTCTCGAGCCACGAATTGGTGAACGGGGAGAAGTGGCGATTCCAACGGACGACAAAGCCCGATTGACAGCATCAGGGTCGCCAAGTCCGTCTGCTTGATCGCAGAAGATCGAGGACAAAACTCAGGGGGCTATTAGGTCAATCAATCAGTCGACCAGTCAACTCTATAATCCTCCAAATACCGCTGAACAACGTCCCCGAAGCGCCAAGGAAGCAGCACATAAAGAAATCCCTAGAACACAACATGAAGAAGACTGAAAATTATTGATATCATTAGATATCCGTTTCAAACGTCACTGAAGAAAACAAGAGCATAGAAATGAATAGCTGGGGATGTAACCAGCAATGAGAATATGGTGTTGAGAACTCCACGCAAGTATCCTGACGGCAACTGCGTCAGATATCCGCGGACAAACGGGTATTGAGCGTAAAAATGAGAGGTGGACTTTCGGTTCTCCTTTGGCATAACCGAATGCATGGATGAGGCCATTGATTCATATCGTTGATTTTTAATACGCTTTGCGATCCCCGAGGTTGCCGGGCTTCTCTTCGGTGTCGATGTGCCACACAATGTAGTTTGGCAAGCCGTACACCTCGTATCCAGCCCGCTTGGCCATACGGGCAAACCCCTCCGTTTCAGCCTGGTTCTCGAATGCATACGCTGGGAAGTTGATGCCTATAATGTGGATGGTTAGAACTAAGATGCGTGTGACGATGCCGGAAGATGCACCAACCTGAACGGTGAACGTCCGCCTTGACCAGAATGTTGACACCACCGATGCCGTCAAGTTCAACCTCCTCGTCCTTGTTTTTCCTCCAGTCACCCATTCCAACGAGGTATTCCCGACCCGTATCATATTCCTTGTATCCCTCAGCGAGAATAGTGTCCGGGTCCAAAGTCTGTCTCAATCTGCGGCCCTTGTCGGATTCGATCCACGAATTGTAGTCAACTAACGATTGTCAGTGATGCTTCCAATTCATGCTAACAGACATGTACATACAGCGACCCTCAACATCACGACCGTCCTTGTAGCGATGGAACCAAATGTCTGAAAAAGAATAATACGTTAGCTCTGCAGCAACTGGGAGAGAAAAGTTCAACATACTAGGAACAAGAATGTCCCTATTGTGGAAAATAAAATCTTCCAGAATAGTTGGAGGGCTGTCAACGATATCAACATCTCTCCAGTAAACCCAGGAGTGATCAGGCTTCAGAGCGGAGTAGAGCAGGTAATTGCGAGCCCGGGCGATAGCCTTGCGCCGGGGGCCCTGAGCAGCAAAGGAGTGTCGATCCTGAACATCCATGCCAGTATCAGCTCCAAATTCCTTTTGAATGATTGTCGCGCTGCGGAAAGCAATTTTGTCTTCCACTTGATCTTGAATTCGGTTCAGCTCCCTTGCGAGAACGGCAAGTGTGTCATCCTGAGAATCGCCAACGAGGAAGGCCAGATCAATGAGCTCATGGGGGTAAGTCAGATTGTAGAGGAGATCGAAGTATTTCTCCAAATGGGGCGCGGCATCTCTCAGAGGAGTGAGGATCAATACCCGCTCCTTGTTCTCCTTAGCTTCACGGGTTGAATGAATGTCGTTGAGGTCGATATTGACGATACTGCTGTCATTTACGACATAGGGCTCATGGTGGTTAAAGATCACAGGAGTCTGAGTATGCGCCATCCATGCGTTCATCTCGTTGATGGTCATTTCCATTGGCGACTTGGGGGGACCGTAGCAATAGAAACTGATCACACCAACCCCTTGTCAGAACCACTCCACACTTCATTCATGACGACCGAATAGATACTCACTTTTGCATTCCAGATGCTGACTTGCTGATTCCACGCCATAATAAGATCAAGATGCCTGTGAGAGCTAAAGATATCAAGAATCGCGGCCGTGTAAGGAGAACAACGACGGCCCTCCAGGGAGGGAGTCGAGCTTTGGCCGACTTCCACGTTACACCACCCTTGGGAAGAAGCATCTTTGCAATATGTGAGCAGAGAACGCGTTGTGACTGGCGATTTATCGTTCAATATTCGAAAACCGTCCCAGCCCGAAAACGGCAACGATTCCTGGAAAAAAGGTGTGTCGTGGACACGCTCAACGTCGAACTGAGACGACCAGCCGACCGCACGATAGACGTAAATCCTCGAAACTGTTGGCAGGGAATCTTTAATAGGCAAAATTCGAAGCAACTCTTCAACGAGTCGAACTGGCTGACACCGGGACGAGAGGAAAGGAGTCGATAACGCGATGGATCACGAAGTAGGGAGGAATGGCTTGGTGGAGATGGGGAAAAAAGGTGGTCTTGCGGAAGGGTGCGGCCAGTAGGGCACCGCAAGAGAAGAGATCACAAACGAATGTAAATGGAGCCAAATGTAATTATGAAACGTATATTTAAGACGAAGAGAAAGAAGAAAGTCAAGGGTCCAGCGAAGTTCGAAGAAGTGACGATGCTGCCAAATAACCAGACCGTTTGGGAGAAGGAAAAACGGGCCGTCGAAGAAGGACGGGGAGTTTTGTCTAAGCGCAATCCGGGCACGGGGATGGCAGAGCCCAGAACAAAGTCCACCCTTGGATTATCACAAGTCAACCGTAGAGCCTTCTCATTAATATTATCGTCGCTGCAGATTATTTGTAAGCGGGGCATTTATTTGATGAGCATCGTAGTCATGCACGCTCTACGGAGTAGAATTGATCGATCGCTCTTATTCAATATTTCGACAATATCGTGGTGTCCCGACATCCGTCTTCATCAACAACCACCATCGGGGCAAAAAGGGGGTTTTCTTGGCAGTTGGTCGAGGCGCATCCCATTCGCCAACTTGGAAGACTCGCTATCTCGAGATCTATCTAGATGCCTCAGCATTGCATGCAAACCGGAGCATATCTAGTCAATCGAAGATGATAGAAATTCGAAATTTTGTGGCTATTATTCATGAATCATGCATTTGCTGATGTGTACAGCTTATTATGCCATTCAGGCATATCATAAAGATCAACAGTGGGAGATAAGAAACCGAAACCAGCTCCTGATGTTTCGCGTATATGGGAGCATGAACAAAACCAGAATCAGACCGGCCCAGAGATGACAAACGTTCCAAACACCAGGTTTCCACAGGTAAATGAAGCAAACAAAGGAAATATGCAAAGGAATCAAATAGCCCACCCTTAAATCCATCCATGATCTCCTTTTCCATTCAAAATGTACCACCCCATTTTCTCCAATGTTCGCCGACAAATGCACCATAAATATTCTATAATCCGAGAGACGAGCTGAGGGATAAGTGAAGTCGAATGTTCGAAACTGCAGAATGAAAAGCGCATCACTGTTCAAGGACTTGATGTTGATACAATGCAGACGCTCAACCGCGATAGACAATCGAAAGCAAGACGGCTCAGGACGACAACCATTCTATGACCCAGGGAAACTCATGACAGAAGGACTGCCTTTAATGTCACCGCATGATACTCATGTCTCTGCCTCAAGGTGACGGGATCAGAGATTGGCGCCGCGAATGTGCAACCGAATAAGTTACGTGAGGAAAAACCGGTGATGAAGGTCCTGTCACGGGAGGAGTGGTGCTGAGAAAGGTGTGTCCGAAGGACTGCGCGTGGGAGGAGCCTGGATGCAAGGGCTCCGGGGCGGCGGTCGGGGCAGCAATCCC